TCTTTAAATTTTGGGTTTTTTTTTTGTTTTTGCAGAACTGGAGTTTGAATTCAGTGTCTCACACTTGCTAACAAGTACTCTACTACTTGAGCTACTCCACCAGCCCCGTTTGTCTCTATTTTTGTTCAAGAAATTTTGAAATTTCTTTTTTGATTTCTTCCTTGATCCATTGTGGTTTGAAGAATAAACTCTTTACTTTACATGTATTTATATCATTCCCCAAAGTTATTTTGTTACTGAATTCTAAAAAAATACCTGATACTATTTCAGCCTCTTGTTTTTACTACTGTTTTTAATAAAGAAAAGAGGTTTATTTAACTTGCAGTTTGAAAGCTCTGGTAGTGAAAGCTCCCTGGTGGATGCCAGGGAATAGGAGGGCAGCAAGCAGAAAGCAAGATTTTAGGTGTTTTTTCAATACTGGGACTTAAACTCAGGGCCTACACCTTGGCCACTCCACCAGCCCTTTTTTTTGTGATGGGTTTTTTTCCAATATAGGGTCTTACAGACTATTTGCCTTCTCTGGCATCTCACTGTGATCCTCCTGATGTATGCCTCCTAAGTAGTTAGGATACAGGCATGAACCACTGATGTAAGGTTTCACTTTTTAAAAAATTTATTGGTACTTGTCTTGTGGCCTATCACATGATCTTGCCTGGATGAATAGTCTATGTGCTGGTGAGAAGAATGTGTATTCTGTAGTTTGACTGGATTGTTTGTAGATGTCTGTTAGGTCCATTTGGGCAGGGTACCCTTTAAACTCTGATGATTCTTTGTTTACTTTCTGTCTGGATGTTCTGTCCATTGCCGAAATTGATTTGGTAATTCCTCTACTATTACTCTGTTGGACACACTCTCTCCCTTTAGATCTATAAATGTTGTTGTAAATGTTTGGGCTATCCAATATCATATGCCTATATATTTAGAATTGTTATTTCTTCTTGCTGAATCACCCTTGCCTTTTTGTTAAAGATTGCTTTTGATTAAAGTCTATTTTATCGAATGTAAGTATGGCTACTGTCTATTTGTTATTCCCACTTGCGTGGTCTGTTTCATCTTCACTTCAGTTTATGTTTGTCTCCTTTGAGGTGAAGTGAATTTCCTATAAGCCATCTATAGTTGGGTCTTATTTTTTTATTCTTCAGTCACTCTTTTCTGTTAATTAGAGAATTTATATGCCATTATTATTTAAAGTAATTATCAATAGCTAAGGTCTTTCTATATCATTTTGTAATTTGTTTTCTACTGTTTTCTATTTTCCTTTTAAATCTTCAGGGTAAATGATTTACTCTGTTAGTGGTTTTGAGAGCGTGTTTGGAGGAGCAGGAAGCACAGTTGCTCACATACCCTTGGACCGAAGAAGAATGGTAGTACTCTATAGGGGATGTCCTCCTCGTCCACCCTTTGGGAAGGATGCGCATGGAGGGTGAGGGAGGAAGGGGACACCCGGGTAGCCAGCCAGATCAGTGAATCAACCTGGTGATTAGTGGGGGACAGATGTTGCAGCCAGATAGCCCTCACTTCCTGTTAGTGTGTTTTGATTTCTTATTTAATTTTTGGCTTACCTATTATAGAGTTTTAATTTGTTTGCTACCATGAAGTAAAAAAAAAAAAAAGTCTTTGGTTATTGCAAGCTATCTGAAATGATAGAGTTTCTGGAAATGATGGTGACTTAAACATGATCATAAATATAAGAAAAAGAAACAGACATTTTAAAAACTACACTTGAACTCCATTTGTCCTCACATTTGGATTTTTAATGTTCCATATGAATCATTAATATATTGCCCATCTTAACATATTGATTATTATTAATCATTATTATTTTAATTGCTTTGAGTTTTAGTCTTCACACTAAAAATATAATGGTATACTTTTGATGCAAACTATAACATTCTATTTTAACTAATATTTTCTAGTTTATCTCTAGTGAAAAATGAAACATGGGAAACTAATTTGATAAATTTAAGTTTATTAAGAAAAGAAGCCTCCCTCCCCCATGATTCATGAATTAAAATAAGTCTACTTGAACATGAGAGGAGCTAATTTTCTTTAATGCAGTAATGTCACAAAAGAATATATTTCCTTGTCTGTATAGTAGATATGACTAAAGAAATTAGCATTGGGGTTTTATTCCAAGCCTTACAATAGTATTTTGGAAAGGAGAGTCACTGAGTTTAAATTGTTATTCAAAACTTAGAAGTTTATTTTGGCAAGCTTTATGACTAATTTAATTACTAAGGCCTCTAAAAGTACAAATTCATTTATCCTTTAACATTGCATTCTTTGCAAAGTGTTTGCTGAGCAGTGTGGTAAGCTCTAGGATTATAATGGATATGACACATAGTTGGCCTTTATAGAGCTTATTGTTTAAACAGAGAGACAAACAAGTACATGTATTACACTAGTAATTAGTAGTTACACATGCTGTGAAGGAGAAAAACAGGGTTCTATGAGAATATAGTATTTTGAAATGTTACCTTGGTCTTGCAGTTTGGAGTTAATAACTGTAATGTTTTTTTTTCCCCTCAGAATATTTAACATAGTGAGAAATTAGTGTGTTGATGCCTAGTATACATAAGGAGTAACAGTAAAATTTTTATTGACATGTACATGTCCATGTATTTTTTATTTCAAACTCTTTGTGCACAGCCAATGTTTGAATTTTGCTATTGCAGAAAATGGCATTCTATTATGTTTTGAAAAATAGAAGGTGCATTGATTGGATTCTGCTAATTTGTAGCAGTTATAATTCTCATTATCTATAGTTAACATAAATGAACATAAATCCACTAAATAAAAATATTTTTTAAACAAACAATATGGAATTAGAGTAAACCTCTCCTTTTTCCTGCTCACAATTTGATTTGCTGAAGCTGCTCCCGAAAATCATGGGTATCGACACTCTGTTCAGAACTTGCTCCGGACTCTCATTTGCAGAATCAGGTCAGGTGGCAGTATCAGGTAAAGGGAAATAAGAAAACATGCTCCCCTCGCCCCACCCACCCCCTTTTTTTTTCTTGAAAAAAACTCAGTACAGTCAAGGTTGACAAAGTGAGGGGAAAGTACACAAAAAGATGCTGGGATGATTGATGCACAAGTTAATATATTTTATAGTGTTTCAGTTAGCCTTTAGAATTGCATTGCATTTAGAAAAGGGGGATTGTAAAGTATAAGGCCAAAACACAGGATGGCAGGAAAATAAGACTTAACATATATCATTATTGTAAATTTGAGTTGATTAAATTTCCTTGGTAAGAAAATGAATGCCACTTGACTTTAGATAAAAACATAATGGTAGCCTAAAGGAATAGATTTCATAATTTGTGAAATTGAATAATAGGATAGGAAGGGTGATGGTTCTTAAGGAACCTGATAGAAGAGAACTAGGCAATATATTAAACTAGGCAATACACCAATTTTAGGAAAATTAGATGATATACATTTGTTTTACAAAATACATCGCCAAGTTTCACAATCTATAAAGATTTTATTTATTTATTATTTTTTTTTTTTCATTTTTCTTTATTATTCATATGTGCATACAAGGCTTGGTTCATTTCTCCCCCTGCCCCCACCCCCTCCCTTACCACCCGCTCCGCCCCCTCCCTCTCCCCCCATAAAGGTTTTTAAAAAGATAATAAAACATTTGAGTTATAACATACTGAGGAGTATTTGACATGTAAGCATAGTTCACTTTGCTTAAAATACTGTCATTCAAGGTGTTTTCTCATACACCTTTCTATTTTTTTTATGTATTGATTACTGGTTTAACATAGACTTTTGGTAATTTGGCCTTGCTTAGTCAATAAACAACTTTCACACAGTAGGTGTCTAATAGCATGTATAAGTAAGCAATAAGATCCATTTGTTAAATGAAATGACTGATCCTGTTCTTTCTTCTGTTTTCTAGAAATATTAAGAGTTTGTCAGATATCCAGATAGTACAGGTTGCTTGTGGTTACTATTCCACTCACTTGCACTTTCTAAAGGTAAGCATTGGGTTCCTTTCCTTTCCTCTCTTCTCCTGGTTTAACTTATCATATGCCAGCTGAGGGTTGGAACGTGAGTTAGTAAAGAACCTGCCATGTGTTTTGTGTAGTTATTTCCATTAAAAAAGTAAGTTCCAGTGGCTCTGTCATTATCATCATTTAATTGGTAAGTGTTTGCGAGATCTGTAAATAAAACACTAGCCTGGAACTTAATAATGTTGAGAAGTGACTAGGGACATTGAGAGTTAAAGAGCTAATTCTAGTTAGTAAAGGTATAGGGTCAAGAAAGTGGTTTTATGTGAGTATTGGCATGTAAGTTTATGCGGGTAGTGTGGAGGCCATGGAAAACATACTCATACTTCAATTGACTTGAGGTTGAAAATAGAACTTGTTACAAAAGCCTTAAATGTCATATTAGGAATTTGATTTATGTAGGTAGTGGGGAACAATGAATCTCTGTGTAGTCTTTCTTTTTTGTTTTGTTTTCTGAGACCAAAGTCTTACTATGTATCCCAGTCTGCCCTTGAATTTGCTGTATCTCAAACTCATGATCCTCCTGCCTCAATCTCTCCAGTGCTGGGATTGCAAGCATGCACCACCATGGCCCAAATGTGTATTCTTTCTTGTTGCTTTCCCAGCTTCTCTTCTATTAATTTGTTAGTTTAGACTTAGCATAAATTTTGACCTTAAGAGTTCACTAATGAGGACAGTTTTTTCCATCCTGACCTTTTTTCCCTATTTTTCTTTTTAACTTACACAGCTTAATGCTTTAGGCAGTATCTTACTCATTTAATAACTTCTTTGAGCGTGCAGTGTTAAGTAGACACGCTGCATTGCACAGCAAGGAGCAATATACTATTATAGGCCTCTGATGCAGTCATACAAATAATGGTATATACTATGATAAGAGCACTAAAGAAAAAGGTGTAAGTATTTACCACATTTAGCAGGAAATGTTAATCTGGGATAACAGGGAGTAAAGATTTCTGCTGGAAGAGAGTAGATGTGAACTAGACAGAAGGTTGGGGAAGATGTAGGTAGAGGGAACAAACACAAAGTGTGTCACAAGCAGGCATTAAATAATCTAAAGGAAACCTAATATGGCTAAAGTGTAGTGGGTGAAGAATAGACAGGCATGGAATGCGATTGGAAATACAGGTTGACCATACAGAGCCTTACAGGCCTTCTTAAAAATGATTATCCCAAGAGCAGTAGAAACCACTGAAGTGTATTGCATTAAAGCTGCTTTTTTATAATATTTCTATACACACACACACATTTATATCTACTTATGTGCATGGGACATTTCTGAAAGGACTTTACCAATAATTGGTAAGAGCAGTTGTTGCGTGGAAGAAGAGTCAAGGATCTAATATTTTGGAGGGAAGCTTGCTTTTTAACTGTGTACTTTTTTGTAGTATGAATTTTTTTTAAATCAGTTACTTAGTGTAGTACTTACTAGTTTATTCCCAGTTTTGGTAATAAAAATAAATAAATAAATAAAATAATGTCCTAAGTTGCGAAATGGCTGGCAGTGGGGAGATCATGTGACAATTAGAGGAAACCAGGTAAGGTGGTGACTAATAGATCTATTGTTGTATTTTCCTTTTGAAAGAAAACTATATATAACTTAGTGATGGGAGATACTAGCATATGAGAGGGGAGGGTATATTAAGCAGGTGTGACTCCCTAGGTTTATGACTTGTGAATCAGTTATATCATTTATCAAAATGGGTGACACTGGAAAGAGAAGAAGTATAGGCATTAGAGGTAGGGTGGAGGTCAAATTCAGTTTGAGGCATGTTGACTTAGAAGTGCCTTTGAAATATCCAAGTATAGATGTCAGATAAACTCTGGGTTGCATGGGTTTATTATTGCTGAGGAGAGATCTGGGCTTATGATAAATTTTGAATGTGATTATTGTTACAGTTGATAATTGAAGCCTTAAGCTTAGAGGAGTGCCTCTCAGTAGGAATTATAGAATAAAAGTGAAACCTGAGGAACAGTAAACAATCCTTTGTTTGTTTGAGGAGCATAAGGAAATGAGATTACCTCTAGTTATGTAATTCACCATTTATCAGTGTAATTATTCAAACTGAAAGTGTACTTATACAGAATGTTCTTCTTGGTCATAGTCTGTTTCCATATGAGGAAATAAATTTAATTCCTAAAAAGAGGAATATGTAATTCCATCTAACGAGAGGGAAATGTCCCAACGTAGCATATGATCTTCCATCTAACGAGAGGGAAATGTCCCAACGTAGCATATGATCTTCAAATTTTCAAATGAAATTTTTTTGTGTGTGAGAAAAATAATTTTGTGATTTTTGTCTTACAGCAAGTGAAGTTTTCTGTTGGGGACAGAATAAATACGGCCAGTTGGGTTTAGGCATTGACTGTAAAAAGCAAACTTCACCACAGCTGATTAAGTCTTTGCTTGGAATCCCATTCATGCAAGTTGCAGCAGGGGGAGCCCATAGTTTTGTACTCACTCTTTCTGGAGCCATCTTTGGATGGGGACGCAACAAATTTGGTCAGCTAGGTCTTAATGATGAAAATGGTAGGTTCTCATTATTGTTCAAATGTGCTTGTTAACAAGAGATGGTCTTTTGAGATGAATGAGTGATTGTAGTGTGTCAGAGACAAATGTACCCAAATATGCCCAGGTACAGAGGTGGACTAAGGTTGATTTTAAAATTTGATTTGCTATATTTGGAGGGTGATGGGAAGGCAAAAAAGAAAAACCATTTCTTTTACCATAAAACTATAGAAAGTTTATCTGGACAAAATCCTTATTATTGGATATTAAAAGACAATGAAAAATATTACTTCAAATTGGTAAATAGGATTATGATCACCATCAGTGGAAGGAAACTGTAAAATTACTCTGGGAAGGAGATAGGAATGTAGCTCCATAATAGAGTGCTTGCTTAGCATATTTGAGGCCCTGGTTTTGAGTCCTAACACTGTACCCCTCCTACCCCCAAAAAAATTACTCTGGGAAAAAATATGAACTATTCAATCTGTTTGAATGCTTTAAGGAAATATTTATTTGATCTTGGGGGCCATTAATTGAGTTTTTTTTGAATTTCTCTTTTGGCACTGATGCTAGAATCTTGAAAGCAAACATTTTGAATTTTAAGAAATTATAGCTATTTGAAACTAGTTGGGATCTTGGATCTGACTTTTTTTTTCTACCAATATTTTGAATGCTATTATTTGACATACAGAAACTGAAAGGGTCAGCGTGAGTTGTTGATCTAGTAACAACTGGTAATGATAAGGAAATAATACCCTCATATAGAAAAATATGTAAGACAATGTAAGAAAATATGTCATGATATATATCTTTTCTCCTACAAAATAGCAGGAGGTAGGATTTTCAGGCTATTGAATAGTATCCTGTGAACATAATTATCTCAGGGTAAATGTAACTTCAAACATATCTATATTTGTCTATCTATCTATATATCCATCTATCCATCCATCCATCAATCCATCACATCCATCACATCAGATGTGTCTATCTATCTGAGAGAGAGAGAATTAGAGGAGTTAAATAGATTTGAAATTCCTTGACTGCTGAGCCCTGTGCAGATTAACACATTTAACACTTAACATTTTAAATCCCTACTTTATCACAAGTTACAGGCTTATACTACAAAAATCATTCATTGACTGTAGTTAAAGATATTTAGCATTACTGTCTACTAAGTTTGGGAAGCTATACAGGAAACATTTTAGAAAAGTTTCAATTTAAAAAATATTGTTAACATCTCTTATTGGAATTTTCAGATAGGTATGTTCCTAATTTACTAAAGTCACTAAGATCTCAGAAAATAGTTTATATTTGTTGTGGAGAAGATCATACTGCTGCATTAACCAAGGTATTGTACTTCTAAAACTTTGTCTTTAATACCCATAATAGTTTTTCATAATTAGTGAATGTTTTCATGATATTTATATTAAAACTTGAGAATAATGGTGATGTTTCAAAACAATTCATTCTGAAAAAGTAAATATTCTTGAAAATAACTTGCCTTATTTTCAATTTTGTTTCAGATTATGAAATGTGAATTATGATATAGTAGTACATCTGATGATAATGTTGAATTTCTCATCTTCCTATCAAATGTTTCTTATAATATTTTAAATAAAAATTATTCATTTTAGTTCATCATATTTGCCATGCTATGTGTAACCCATTTATATGTGTAGCTGTACCTAATTGAAATTTAGCATGTATTTGGCTTATATGTATTTTATATCAAGTAATAGAAGAGACTGAATTTCTGTTATTCATCTCTCATGCCTCACTTTCTTGGGTATGTGCCAGTTCAGTATGTAGCTTAGTTCTGTTGTGACTAGAAGTTACTGAAAATGAAAACACTTGGACTGCGAGTGCACATCAGTGGTGGAGTGCTTACCTAGCATGCATGAATTCCTGGGTTTGATCCCCAGCACCTGGAAAACAAAACAAAACAAAGAATATTCAACTAATCTTTATTGAAGAATTATTTATTATAATAAATAATTATTCATTCATGTCAACATAAATGATCTGGCAAATCTCTCATTGACCAAATTTGAAATTAATGTTTCTGCTTCTGTATCTTTCTTTGTGTTGCATAGTAGATAAAAATTGGTAAGAAATTAACTTCTGGCTGGGCATGATGGTACACACCTGTCATCTAAGCTAAGCAGAAAACACAGGAGATTGTGGTCCAGGTTGGCCAGGTCCAAACAGGAGGCCCTATTCAAAAAATAATTAAAGTAAAAAGGACTGGGGTGTGGCTGAAGTTGTAGTGCTCCTGCCTAACAAATTCAAGGCCCTGATTTCAAACATAATACTGTCCCTAGCCTCCTGAAAAAGAAAGAAAAAAAATTAACTTCTAATCAGGCTTTAAAAATTGTGTACTTTTTCCTTCACTTTTTAAATTTATTTGATTTGTTATGTGTTTTTTGTTGCTTTTTTGAGAAGGATTTCACTATGTAGCTAATTAGGCTGACCTCAAACTCAAGATCTTCTTGCCTCAGCTTCTCTAGGGAAGATGTGTACCACTACATCCAGCTTAAAATTCTGCGTTCCTATTCCCACTTTAAGAATTTGAGTTTAAGAATTATTCTTAGTCATTGTCAAATTTAGTGAACTCAAGTACTTAAAAATCTAATGACCAATTACAAAAGTTAATTTTTAAATGTTTTATCCAACTTGCCTTTTTAGTAAGAAAGTTTTACTATTCTTTTATATTTCATTTATTTTTAGCATGGAGATTACAAATGCAATCACTGAAGACTTACTCACTTTGCCAAGTTTTATCAATTTTAGTCATTAAGTCATCAGTATTTGGAAGAAATTAGGGTGTGTAGAGACAGTAAAATACTTTGTGTTGATATATAAAAATACTTTGGATGGTGTCTAATTTTGTATAGTAAACTAATTTTATATTAGAAAGACTAGCAATGTTAATGCTTTTCAAATTGAACCTTTCGAGTAATCACTCATCTTTAATGTTAGGATAAGTATCTATATCAAGTTTTTAAAAAATGCTGGTTCTTATTAATCTTCTGTATTTTCTCAGAAGAGTTGGTAACATTTGTTCACTGGATTTTTTTTTTTTTTTGATGGTACTGGGATTTTGAACTCAAGGCCTCACACTTGCTAGGCAGGCCCTATACTTCTTGAGCAAATCTCAGCCCTTTTTTTGTGTTGGATATTTTTGAGATAGGGTCTTGGGAACTATTTGTCTGGGATCGCTTCAAACTGCGATCCTCTTTATCTCTATCTCCAGAATAGTTAGGATTATAGGCATGGGTCACTGTGCCCAGCTCTGGCTATTTGTATTTTTGTAAATAGAAGAATAAATTTAAAATTTTATAGCTAAAACTAATGTACCTTGCCTTGAAATTTGGTCTTTGGAATCTAGAAACTACTACTTATAATTTAGAAAGCAAAATTATATACATATATACACATTAAACTGCAAATAAGTTAGTGGCATAACTGTGTGAAGAATTATTTTAGGCATTTTAAAATATAGTATTTCACTATACATTATTCTAAGGATAAACCAAATCCACAATGAAATTTTTTTTTATTTGATGTGCTAGGGAGCAAACCCAGAGCCTTGTATGTGCTAGGTGAGCACTCAGCCACTGAACTATCCCTAGCTCCACAATGAAATCTTTAAACTGTTCTTTAGTCTTAATATTAATAGCAAAATTTGTATTACTATTATTTTTTGTATATTACATATATAATACATTAAATCAAATAAATGTTTTACTATCATTAGAAATTGGTTTTCAGCTAAAGGGAAAGATAGATATAAAACTGTAGGAATTAAGTTTAAACCCAGTGTTCTTTACTTTGAGTCACAGTATTAGTATGAACTTGATTTATTTTTCTGTTTTTAAACATACATTGGATCTTTGCTTTTTGCTGTGGCCACTGAAAGGCCCTCGAGGTAATAACCATGTACAATGTAGGAAACAGTCAGCATCCCTTGATTGTTGTATATTTTCCATTAAAGAATGAGAGTTTCTTAGAGAGGAGTCAGATACTATGTCATGTACATGTTCTTGTACAAATGGTGTAGAAGAACATGGGCAAGGTCTGATAGAGTGCCTCAAGTGGTAGAGCACCTGTCTAGGAAGCATGAGGCCAGGAGTTCAAACCCCACTACTGCCAAAAAATTGAACATGAGCAAAATGCCTTGTGCCTGTAGTCTCAGCTACTTGTGGGGGAGACTGAGGGTGGGAGAATTTTTTGAGCCCAGGAGTTGGTGGCCAGCTTGGGGAATATAAGAATACCCAATCTTAAGAAAATGTATAGGAATATCCTTGGGCATTTCATGATACAAAATAGTGAAGACTACCTGAAATAGCTTTTACTAGGTATCAAAAAAAATAATTACTGCAAAAATGGAAATACATCAAGTGTGTAAAAATACATATGATTTTGCTTCCAAATAAGTACATTATTTAGAATTCATTATTTATCTTTGGGAGTTGCTAGAATGATAACTCATTTTTCAAAAAACTGGTAAATAATGAGAAAGAGTCACCATTTACCCTGCCTTTTATTTGAAAATTGTATTTCAGGATTATTTAATAGTTCTTTGTAGAATTCCAACTAATTTAGAAGAAATAATAAAATGAGCAAATCACCATTTTGCATTCTGAAATGATGAATCTAAGCAGAGTTTATTAAGCTTAATGGGGATGGATTAGGCTGACATAATTTGACAAACCTCTCCCCTGTTTTGAGACAGTTTTGCTATGTAGCCCTGACTGGTCTCAAACTCTTGATCCTCCTGCCTTAGCCTCCCAAATGCTGGCATTATGACTGGCTAACTTATTTTTAATAACTAGTCATGTTTTGTGACACAATACAATAAAAAAATCCGGAAGATTTAAATATGGCCTTTCGGTTTTAAATTATGTTAAATTATTATTTTTGTGAATGTGATAATATCATGTTTATATTTTTTTATCTGGTAGAGAGATAAACCATTGAAGATATACATTTTTTTGAGGTGGGGGATGCTTTGATGACCATAATTTACTTTAAAGTACTTCAGTGCTTTTTTTTTTCCCCCCTTAAAAGTACCCACTGCCAAAAAAGTGGGGGAGGGTGGCTGTAATGAAACAGTATCCAACCTTTTTGCAAGTTATTGAAAAGGAGTCATGGTTGTATCCTAGTTTATTACACTGTCTTTTTACTTCTGTATATCTGTTTAAAATGTTCAATGGTAAAATTTAAAAAGAAAAAAATAAGTTCTCATACATTAATTACTTATGTCATTAGAAGATTAAAGCAGGATGTAAAATTACATACATAGCTACAACTATGAAGAAAAGCAGTTGAGCTGAAGAATACTATTTGTGGTTGTGTTGTCCTTATGGATTTTTGTTTTTTAAATATATAATCTCTAATCCAGCCATGTGTTTTTATAAAAAATTTTTTCCACCATCTCTGTATTGGTAGCTGTATGCTCAAAATCACTATATTTGTGCACTGTGGTCACATGTCTTTGTATAAAGAGCTTTTATTCTGGTGGGGGTTATTTGGTTGTGTTTTGTTTTTGGAGACAAGGTCTCTCCATGTAGCTTGGGCTGGCCTTGAACTCATGGTTTCTTGCCTTAGTCTCCTGCATGCTAATATGCAGACTGTATCACCACATCTGACTTAATACACAGCTTTTATGTTCAAAGCATAATTAGCTTACAAAGTGAAAATTGTATCACTTTTTTCGTTTTTGGTGAAATTTTGCAAATGTATACTGTGAATTGAACAAGAGAGTATAATGATAAAAGGCAATGTAAATAATTGTTTAATGAGGACTTCAGCTAAATATTTTATAACAGTGAAAACATTAAGTGCTTTAAAAATACGTGTAGCTATTCGCCTTCCACCTGGAATTCTCTTAGTTTTAAGATATTTTGCCTTCTTTAAAAAGCCAAGTATCTTAAATTTCAAAGATAGTAGAAGAGAAAAAAAAATGAGTGCATATTAAAGGTCTACTTACTTGTTTTTTCAGGCTTTCTAATAGTGTTTTTGTCTTTTTTAGGAAGGTGGAGTGTTTACCTTTGGAGCTGGAGGGTATGGCCAGTTGGGTCATAATTCTACCAGTCATGAAATAAACCCAAGGAAAGTTTTTGAACTTATGGGAAGCATTGTTACTCAAATTGCTTGTGGAAGGTAAGCTATGATTGAAAGAATTATTTTGGGGCTGGAGGCGTGTGGCTCAAGTGGTAGAGTGCCTGCTTTGTGAGCACAAAGCCCTGAGTTCAAACCCCAGTCCCACCAAAAACAAAAGAAAAAAGAAACTTGATAAGAAAAAAGTTTTTTGGTTGCTATACCACAATTACTGAGCTGGGTGTGGTGGTACACGCCTATAATCCCAGTATTGAGGAAGCTGAGGTAGGAGTATCTCAAGTTCAAGGCCAGCCTGGGCTATAAAAAATCAAAACCATACCAACAGAGAAAAATCCATGATTATTAAGGATTGTTTATTAAATTGTTTTAGGGATCTAGTAATCTGAGGTGAAACATTGTAATGGGAGAAATATCTTTCATGTGGTTATTGTATTTTCATTTTTTGGGAACAGCTTTTATAGTTACTGCACCATTTCATATTTTTACTAAGAGTGCACAGCTGTTGCAGTTTCTCTACCTCTTTGCCGAGACTTGTTATTTTTCTTTTTTTTGTAAAGTGGTACCTCATGATGGCTTTGATTTATTTATTTCCCTAATGTTTAGTGATATTCAGCATTTTTCACATGCTTATTGACCATTTGTACATCATCTTTGGGGAGATGTCTGTTCAAATCCTTTTCTCATATTTGAATGTCTTTGTGTGTGTGTGTGGCTGTTTAATAAAAAGTTCTATATATATTCCAGATACTAATCCTTTATCATGTACATGATTTGCAGATATTTTCTTCTATTTTATGGTTTTCCCTGTTTGATACTGTCATCTTTTATGCTAAATTGTATCTTTATTGGTTTTTAAATATTCACCTAAGAGACGTGATCTTTCTGTGTTCTTCAGGTTGGCTCCAAGCTCCTAGGCTCAAATGGTCCCTTGGCCCCTCAGCCTCTTGTGTAGTTGGAACTATTGACCTGCACCTTTGTATCTGGTTGATAGTGCCTTTTTTTGAGACAGGGTCTCAAACTTGCAAGCCTTTTGCCTCAGCCTCTTGAGTGTTTAGATTGCTCCACGTCCAGTTTGATAGTTTGCTTTGAGCTTGGGATTTCAGGGGGTTGTTTTTTTTCTTTTTTTAATTTTTTTTTCTTTTTGGTTGTACTAGGATTTGAAGTCAGGGTTTTGTGCTTGCTAGGCAGGTGCTTGAGCCATTCCACCAGCCCTTAAACTACTTTTTTTTGGAGGCACTGGGGTTTGAACTCAGGGTAGGTGCTCTTACCACTTGAGTCACAACGTTAACCCTTTCTGTGTGCGTGTGTATGATGGATTTTTTGAGGTAGGATCTTGAGAACTATTTGCCCAGGGAGTAGCTAGGATCATAGGTGTGAGCCACCAGCTTAAACTTTTAAAGAGAAAATTATGGCAGTAAATATGTGCTATATTTTTCTCATAGTAAATCGTTGGGAAGGGAACATTAAGTCTGAGGTTTTCTATCATTTTCTTTTAGGCAGCATACTTCTGCATTTGTTCCTTCATCCGGACGAATTTACTCTTTTGGGCTTGGTGGTAATGGGCAATTGGGAACTGGTTCAACAAGCAACAGGAAGAGCCCTTTCACTGTGAAAGGAAATTGGTTTCCTTATAGTGGGCATTGTTCACCAGATATTGGTAAGTTCTTACTAAAATGTTTCTGTGTTTGCAAGAATTGTAAAATACATTGTTAAATTAAAATAGCAAGTTACAGGTTTTGTGATGTATCCCTCTAATCCCAACATTGGGGAGGCAGACATAGGATTGAATTTTAGGTCCAACCTGGGCTACATAGCAAGACTCTGTCTCAAAATAAAAAGTGGGGGTGGTAGGGGACAATTTACAGAACAATGCATGCATGAAGTTGCTTATTTTGTTTATGTTTACTTGTATATGCATAGGGAAATTCTGTATAAAGTAATAAAAATAGTTCCACAGGGTAGGTCATATGGGAGCTAGAGGGTGGCTATATAGGGAGGTTTTTACTTGTTTCGAATTGGGATAAAATACACAGTAAATTTACATTGTTGTATAACCATTCTCCAGAACTCTTTTCATCTTGGCCAAACTAAAACTCTATAAACAACTCTCCATTACCTTGTGTGTTCCCCTGATCCCAGTCCCTGGCTACAATTCTATTTTCTGTCTCTGAATTTGAGTTGACTGTAGACACCACAGTGATACAGTGTTTTTCTTTTTATGACTGGCTTACTTCATTTGGCACAATATCCTCAGGGTTCATCCATTTACTTTTACTTACATTTTACATTTTCTTTACCATCCTAAACTATTCTTCAGAACTGTCTTGTTTATCTATTAGTCAACATTAGAATCCTGAGTGTTATAAAATGATGTGAAACTTGATGTGTGTTAGATTTATCTATTCATATTGATGAGCATGAGCATACCATGATTATTGACTTTTTTTTTTTTTTTAATTATTTTGGCAGTACTGGGGTTTGAACTCGAGGCCTCATACTTGCTAGGCAGTCACTCTATCTATCACTTGAGCCACTCCACTAACCCTGATTGTTGACATTTGAAAAGGTCCATAACTTTTTTTGGTGGTATTTGGGTTGGAACGCAAGACCTCATGCATGCATTCATAATTTGTTCTTTTTCCCCTTAAATAATAAATAACAGTAAAGACAACATAAAGCATAGAAAGGTACTCTTTTAAGACAGATAAGGGATGAGGATGGGGAATAAGATAACAGAGATGCCTTATATTTGAAAATAACTAGCTTTAAGTCATAATACAGAGCTTTGTGTTTTGGTGTATGATACCTCTGAATACTAACCAGCATTATCTCTAATTATGTATACTCTTTCTATTTGGGGGGAGCAGAGAGAAGAAAAAGGAGGAGGCCTTGAGCATCTTTCTCAAAAGAAACTCTTTTGCCATTTCTTTGTCCCTACTAAATTTTTTATTAATTTGTACATTGTTGGGCTTGATTTAATTTCAACAATAAAAATATTGTTGAAGACTGTGTATCATCTGTTTTGTACAGATACATTGAAAGGGAAAATAATTTTGCCTTATGAAGTTTTTACTCAAGTTTTAATTTTTACTATATTTTTCTTTTTAATAATTTAATTTTTGTGTTCCTCTAAGCTGCCTTCCTTTTTATATTAAGTTTAAATGAAAATTTACTGAGATAAAGATTAGAAAACACTTATTTGTATGCAGGCCAGAAGAAAGCCTACATACAAATTTAAGTTTGAAAGTTTATATAAATAAACTTACCAAATGCTTCTTATGCTTAAGGAACCACTTAATATTCAGTCTCATCCCCAGAGTATTTCATGTTAGGAAGTCCACTGAGGCAATATCTGATTAAATTAGATGAACAAGGCAAATGCAGTAGCAGATTTGGTACTTTGAAAAATGTGCTATCAATCTTGGATTCTAATTTTCAAAAAATTTAATTTAATTTTGATTCGTCATACATTAATAATGGGAGGTTTTGTCGTTTCTAACTTTTTGCATTTCATTTTTACTACAGATGCTGAGGACTATTTCTGTGTAAAAAGAATTTTCTCAGGAGGAGATCAGAGTTTTTCACATTACTGTAGTCCACAGGTAATAATACAAACATGTAAATTATTACTTAATTCAAAATTTTTTTGAGGAATTTACCCCATGCTGATGATTCATGCCTGTAATCCTAGCTACTTGGAAGGCAGAGATCAGGATTGGAACTTGAAGCCAGCCTAGGCAAGTAGTTTGCAAGGTCCTATCTTGAAAATAACCAATACAAAAAAGGACTGGTGGAGTGGCTCAAGTGGTAGAGTGCCTGTACCACATACACACACACACACACACACACACACACGCACACACACACACAGGAATTTAAAAAATTCATTAATGTTCTTTATACATTATAAAATAATTGTCTTATGTGTTTTTCCTGAAGTCTATAAAATAAAATTTGTTTAATCTATTAAGTTTTTGTTTTAGGTGAAATTGACTTATGTTTTAAAAAATAGTAATAAATAAGCCAGAATTGAAAATGTAATACTGGGAGATTCTTGATCTTGTGTTATAGCTTCTATCTCTTCTCTCTGATTAATCTACTTATTTTTAAAATTTAGAACTGTGGGCCACCAGATGATTTTAGATGTCCTGATCCTTCAAGGCAGATCTGGACATTGAATGAAGCTCTGATTCAAAAATGGCTAAGCTACCCCTCTGGAAGGTTTCCTGTGGAGATAGCCAAGTAAGAAAAACATATACAAAGACATAACACAACCGCTAAACCTTATGTGTTACAGCTTCCTTTTCAGGATGGGGAGGAGGTCATTTGAATATTTATTTCATTGAATGTCACTCATTGCATTGTTTACAGACAAAAATATAAATGTCTATAGCTCTTATAATAATGGATATTTTCAAAGATCTTATTTAAATATGTATAGTTGTAGTTCTTTCATACATATAAAATGTTAAATGATAAAATATAAAATGTAACCATTTTAGAATTCCATTTGAAATACGTTCCTCTGACATAATGATTACTCTCGCATCTTTTATACTTCTTGGAAGACTTGGATATTCTTTCTTGACTATTATATTTATAAATTAATTTGTACTTAGGGCTTTGCTTGTTGGTTTGTTTTTTGTTGGTATTTGAGATGAAGAGTTACACAGGTATGTGCTTCATAATGACATTTTACTCAACAGCAGACCTCATGTACTCTGGTGGTCTTGTGAGATAATAATGTACCTGAAAAATTCCTATTGCCTAGTGAAATCACAGCTATCATAAGGCAATGCATTATGTGTGTTTTGGTGGTGATGCTGATAGAAATCAATTTAATTCACTTCCAGTAATATGAAAGTATAACACACACAATAAGGTACCATCGATAACTAGTATACAAGCATACAGTAAGTATACTTGATCATAAATGACTGTTACTAGTGTCTGTATTTACTACTCTCTACCTTTCATAATAATTTTAGAGTATACTCCTATTCACAAAAATGTTTGCAGTACACAGTATACAGTGTTAACTGGCAGCAGCTTCATACACTTCATGCTTACTGAGTCTCTTGAGTGAATCATTTTCTCTAGTGCTTGATTTAATCTTGTGTTGTTTTGTGTATATGACATAAACTATGCCATTTGTACTATAGTCTAGCCATGTAGTAGGCTATACCATCTAGGTTTTTTTATTATTATTGTTATTTTTGTTTTTTCATTTTTTTTTCCCTCCATCTAGGTTTCTAAGCATACTTTGTGACGTTCTCACAACAATAGATTGCCTAAATGACTCATTTATCAACCTACCCTATTGTTAAATGATGTGTGACTGTATTTAAACTGTTTTGTGATGTTTAAATTGTTTTCTCAAACTAAAATTTTATAAAATCCCAAAAGAGAGAGCCTTAAGAACCCAGCTGAGTGTAGTGGCTCATGCCTGTATTCCTAGCTACTTGGGAGCTGGAGATAGAGAAGATTGTAGTTTGAAGTCAGTCCAGGACAAATAGTGAGACCCCATCACAAGAAAAAACAGAAACAAAAAACTAGATGTGGTGATGTGCACCGCTCATCCCAGGCGCATGGGGAAACATAAATAGGAGGCTAATGCCAGGCTGTCCTTGACCTAAAAGTGAGACCTTGTTCAGAAAAACAAAAAAGAATAGCATCCAAGATTGTCACTACCAAGTGGAATTTTAAAAGTTAAATGTTCAATCTTATGTAAGAAAATTTAAGAAAGTTAATTAGTTTGATGAATCAGAAAATGAAAGTATTTGAGAAATCCTAGGACATCATAATATCTTTATCATATTAATAAGCAGTCTTCATTAATTTGCATAATTCTGATTCATTTTAATTGAGTGTTGGTTACAGAAGTATTCTGTAACATTAAATATTTCATTGAATTTTTTTTTTAATGTTTTTCTCTTTTTAATGAGACAGGTTCTTAGTATGTAGCCCAGGCTGGTTTCTAGCTTCAGATCTTCCTGCCTCAGTGTCCTAATCTCAACTGAGATTATAGCAGGACCCACCATATCTAGCTCTAAATATTTATTTAAATTTTTATTTAAAATAAACACAAGCAATTAAATTTCTCATTTTGTTATTTTTTAAATTCTTTAATTTCTTTTTAGTGAGATAGATGGAACATTTTCTTCGTCTGGTTGCCTAAATGGAAGTTTTTTAGCTGTTAGGTAAGTGGTAACTCTTCTCTTTGCTGAAACTTTCAAAAGTATTAAATTAAGCAATAAAGAAATAAGTTAATTAATGTATGCTGATAAAAGAGTATATATATAATTTGTGAGCTGTTGAGGTTTTTATTGGTGTTTTTTTTTTTTTCTAGCAATGATGATCACTATAGAACAGGCACCAAATTTTCAGGGGTTGATATGAATGCTGCTAGGCTTTTATTCCACAAGCTTATACAACCTGATCACCCTCAGATATCTCAGCAGGTTTGTTTTTAAATGACTTTTGATTTGCATTACTTAGCTGATGAGTTTTTACATGTTATCTTATGTTTATGAGCTAATTGACTTTGCAGTTTCATAGACTCATGGTGTATTTTGTATAATTTCATTAAACATAGTAACGTAAGAATTAAAATAAGGAGACATGGAGTATGGTGGTTCACGCCTGTAAATCCTGTCTACTTGGTAGGCATAGGTAGGAGATCATGGTCCAAGGGCAGCCCCAAGCAAAAAGCATGAGATCCTGTCTGAAAAGTAACTAAAGCAAAAAAGGACTGAGATGTGGCTCAAGTGGTAGAGTGCTTGCCTAGCAAGTCCAAGGCCCTGAATTCAAAACCCAGTACCACAAAAAAAAAAATGGTTTTTAAAGTAAGGTTTTATTTTTAAAGCATTTGTAATTAACTGTAAAAGAATAGTAAATATTCCCAGATGCTTACTGAGACTGAATTACTTAATATTACTGTGCTGGTTAAATCTATTCATAACTATAGTGATAGTTTAAATTGAGACTTGCATATAAGATTTTTAAAATTTTTTGCTCTAAGCAATGCTTAAGTATTAATTTTCATTGTGCTCTGAAGTACATTCATTGTAAGACATTATCTTTATTTTTGTTTTTGTCTCCATTTCGTGTTTGCTGTAGTACCAGAGGTTGTTTTTTTTTCTTTTTCTTTTTTCCTTTTTTTTAAGTGCGTTCATTTTAAATGAAGTAGGTTTTGCTTTTTGTCAAAATATAGGTTGCAGCTAGTTTGGAAAAGAACCTTATACCTAAACTGACTAGCTCCTTACCTGATGTTGAAGCATTGAGGTTTTATCTTACTCTACCAGAGTGTCCCCTGATGAGTGATTCCAACAATTTCACAACAATAGCAATTCCCTTTGGTACAGCTCTTGTGAACCTAGAAAAGGCACCACTAAAAGTACTTGGTAAGAATTTTAATATGTTCCTTTTGAAACCTTTTCTCTTTAAAATGAAAATGTTTGAAAGTTTCTTTTTGCTGTTTGAAATTTTTCTGCCTTGCTTGCTAATTGACATTGTTCTAGGGGGAGAAACTTTTTGTGGCTTTGCTCTAGTCATTTGATTTTAATTGTTGGAGTTTCTGTAGGCAAAACATGTTAGATACAGAATTTTAACGAAATGTAATAGTAGAGACAGTATCAAGAGAGGTAGGAACTTACCTGTATTTCTCTTCTTCATTGCCTTCATAGTGATCTTGCTGTTAAAGAATTAAAGGAGAACAATAATTAAAATTGAATGCATACAGGTTTTAAATTGTCTCTGGGTGCTGCTGTCAACTCTTTTCATGTTTCCTTCACTTACTAATTTCCTCATTTTATTTTATTTCTCTTTAATAGACAGAATTTTATTCCTCATCTGATCTTACAGTTCTGTCTCTGTTGCTCTGATTTCTGGCCTAAACTTTTCTCACTTTAATCTTTTTAATTGTGTAGATTCGTGTCTAACTCCTGGCCTTTATAGTTGACTTGCTACATTTAATCCAGTGCTTTACTTTCTAATAGTATTTGTTAGATATGTGGAACTAAAATAGATTTAAGTAATAAAAACAGTACAAGAATTGTAAGGCTAAGGGTGAGTGGAGGAAGCAACAAGCAAAGGGCAGAAAAACAGTGAAACACAAACTCACGGAGTATTACTTTCCTGTTTCAGAGATTATTTTGTATTCTTAGATTTTTGTATTTCTTGTAGTAGCTACAAATAATAAATGTGGTGAATGAGAAACATGTTACAACTTTACATTATTCAGTTTCTGTATTTGATTTTCAGAAAGTTCCTTGCATTTTAAAGGTGGTACTTCTTGATGTTTCAGCTTTAAATTAAATTGAAAGATAAAACTTACAAAGATCTTTAAATATTTGAACAATATAGTTTTAAAGTATGTTTGCTTTAAAAATTAAAATTCTGATTTCTAAAACACTTTTTTAACAATTGGTTGTAATATTAGATATAGTGGTGAGTTTTAAATACCATTTAGGTAACCAAGAATAAATTCAGTAAGCCATTCATACTGTATTTTTGATTTTGAGAGCCTTTAGGACAGTATACTTTAACTTGGTGGTGGTGGGAAGGGTTGGCTATAAACCTAGAAATGTTATATAAAATATTGCTATGTTCATCTTCCTGGGACTTTCAAAGGGTTAAGAACCACTGCTCTAGAAGAAAAGTCAGTATACTTTTGAAAATTGTGATTTTTTTTTTTATTCATTTTATTTGCATGTTCATTCTTTAATAACAGAAAACTGGTGGTCAGTACTTGAACCTCCACTATTCCTCAAGATAGTAGAACTTTTTAAGGAAGTTGTGGTACATCTTTTGAAACTCTACAAGATCGGCATTCCCCCTTCTGAAAGAAGAATTTTCAACAGTTTTCTTCATACTGCATTAAAGGTTTTAGAAATATTACATAGGGTATGTCCAATAGTTCCTTTATTTTCCTTTTTCCCTATTCCTGTTAAAAGATTGATAATGTTCATTTTAAGATTAATATACTACAGATTTAGATTGGCATAAAAGATACAGTATTGAAATTTGGAAAAATTATTTATAGTTTCCTTTAAGAGAGGTAATATATTTATACTTTGGAGCTTTGGTCTTACTTGACCTTGTTAGGCATTTATAGGTAACTTGTCTATAGTTGGGCAGAATAATAGCATATTAATGAATTTGAATTCTCCCTATATTGTCATGTGAAGAATCTGCTATGTTGATTTAGTAATACATTGTTGCTAGTTATGAGTCGTTATCATATGAAAGTGACTGGGCCCTCATTGTTACATTGAACATTTAAACTTATGTTACTTGGTATCCTGTATAATGGCCTCTATCAAAGTAGAATGTTTCGTTTGAAACAAACTGATTTGAAATCGAAACTATATATAATTCATTAATTTGCTTATTGTTCTTTCCTGCCCCCAGTGTAAGAAATAGTACCCTTTACACTTGTAGGAGTGCAGAGTTATATGAAGAAGTAGAGTCTCAGCTGTTTCATTAGAGATGGATTTGAGTCATCCCTGACAGTTGGTAGGTATATCTCTGTTATGCCATTTGGTATTCTTGAGTGCTATTTAGATGAGACATGACCTAGGGGAGAAGCATATGTTTATCTAGCTTATAGAGTGACTAAAAACCTCAGATGAACCTGTAATCTTTAGTTTCTTTTCCATAACGTCGTTGTACTTTTAGGCCTTTGTTGCTTAATACTTAAAGTTAATAATAAGTGGATAAAGGAGATAGTATATCTGTTCTCTGTATGAAAGAACCCTTTTATTTTTTAGTGAAGCTCCTGGGTTTTTTTTCTGAACCTCTTAACTTCCTGAACTTTTTTCCTTTTGTATTAGTATGTACAAAATTGCTAGCCAAACAACTATTTTCTCTCCTCATTATAATTAAGAGTGATAGCATTTTCTTTCTTAGGAAAACAAGTTATTCCCCAGAATAACCTATGAGGGTCTGGGGCTGCAGCACACTGCTGTTATGAAGATCTTCTAACTTTGTGGGATGGCTCTGCATATCTTTTGCCTAGAATTAATTTTTTTTTTTTTTTGTTCTGGACTTCTACTTTGGTGAACAATCTGTTTTCAGCTGGATCCTATTCCTGAGTAATTACTGTCTTTGCCTTCATTATCTGCTTATTTTTATTCCTCCTTTAAAGGATACTGTTTTTTTCCTTAGCTATGTCTTTTATCTCAAGAAAAAGGGAGGAGAGGGGAGAAAAATGAACATTTTGTCTTTCATAATCACAGACAGGACTTGAGTAAGTAACTTACCTACCTAGCTCAGAAACCTCAATCTCTGTAGTTGGGGAGAGGGGTACAACATAAGATTTTTTTCTCCAGAGATTTTTTTTTTTCTTTCTCCTCCCCCCCCCCCCCCCGCCACTCCCTCCCCGGTACTGGGGCTTGAACTCAGGGCCTACACCTTGAGCCACTCCACCAGCCTTTTTTTGTGAAGGTTTTTTTCGAGATAGGGTCTCTGGAACTATTTGCTTGGGCTGGCTTTAAACCATGATCCTACTGATCTCTGTCTCTTGAGTAGCTAGGATTACAGGCGTGAGCCACTGGTGCCTGGCTAGAAACCCTTTAAAATATTTTTTTTCTGTTTCAAAGATTAAAATTTTAGAATCCAGCAACACTGGATTCCATGAAATAGAATATGTGTTCCCCAGAGGCCTTTTTGCTAGAGCTATGCTAGGTACTGGAATCTAGCTGCTTTTTTGGTGGGAAGGAGGGAAATGTGGTGAGGAAGGCATAATGGAGTTTGAACTTAGGGCCCTGTGCAAGCTCTCTAGCACTTGAGCCAACCAGCCCTTATAGGTTTAGATTATTTTTCAAATAGAGTATTGTTTTTTGTACTGGATGGTTGTGAACTATGATCCTTGAATTATGCCCAAGTAGCTGGGATTGCAGGTATGAGCCCCCATATCGAGCCCCACCAACTTCTTACTAGTTGAAGATAAAGGGGGAAAAAAACCTAACATTTATTGCTTACTAGCAATATCCAGGATTAAAACCCACTTTTTGCTGGCACCAGTGTCTCAGTGCTGTAATCATAGCTACTTGAGAGGCTGAGATGGGGAGGATCTCAGTTCAATGCCAACCCAAGCAAATAGTTCATGAGACCCTATCTCAGAAATAAACCAGAGCAAAATGGACTGGAGGCATGGTCAAGCAGTAGAGCACCTGCTTTGTAGGTGTAGAACCCTGAGTTCAAACCCCAGTCCCACCAAAAAAGCCTTTGTATATAATAGGTGTGAGCACTTTTGTATATATTACTCACTTTAACTTTTTTCACTTTGTATAGTTAGTATTTTGCCCTTTTTATAGACTGAAAAAATTAGTTTCAATGCTAAATGTCATAACTATGTAGCAGAGTTGAACTGCAAATCCAATTTGGCTTCTAAAGTCTTCTATATTAGTGAATACAGTAACATAATATGTTTAAAGGGGGTTTGCTTTTATTATGTCCCTAGAGCTAGAGGTTCATACTCTAGATCACATATAGTATTATGTTATGTACTCTGAATAAGGAATCAAAAGATCACATGTGAGTAAATGTAAAAATGATAAAATAAAAAAAATTTTTTAAAGACCATGTTGTAATCCTTTGTGCTGTTCCCTACCCTACCAGGATGATTTTTAACGTCTGTTTGTCACAAATGCAAGTGAATGATTAGCTATAAAATAATTAAAATATCACCTCTAATAGTTTCCCAGGATTGACGTGTTGTTTAAATTATACAACTTTTACAAGTTTTTGGACATGTAAATGGCAGTGGTTTCATTATCACACCACCACTATTTGGATGGCAAATCACTACTTTTAACTTGATTTACTGGGTTATGAGGAAACTGGGTTCTTGTTTGAAGTTATTACATATTTAAAAGCAGAAGGATTCTGGCATGATCTTCCTTCTTTTTTTTTTTGGGGGGTCCATTTTGTTGTGTTGGGGATCAAACCCAGGGCCTCTTGCATGCTAGGTAAATGTTCTACCACCAATCTATATTCCATCCCTGGGTCTGAATTACTTAAACCTTTTCTTCTGGATGTCCTTATGGCAGTCATTTATCTTTCTTCTATCCCTGTGTTGCCTCATTCTATTCTGTGATGCATAAATAACCTGTGAATATTAACTATTAGGAATGATTAACTTTCATCTTACAAAAGAAACCCAGGTACTTTCAGAAACTTGTTTTTTTCAAGCACACCTTATGTGTGACAACTGTAAATATTTCTTTTTTCTACTCAGTGGTTTAGAATTAGGAGTTTCCTCAAATAATTTGTCTTGATCTAATCCTGTAGCATGATTAGAATCTTAAAAAAACCTGGATTTTGTGTTTCCTGTTCATTTCAGGATGTATGAGTGTGCTTGTTCCTCCCATATGTCATGTCCTTTGGAAAGCTTTTTGAACTAAAAATCATTTCTAGTGCTCCAAATGGCATCATACGAAAAATACCTTTGATACCTGCTGTCAGGAATGTATATATTATCAGATAAATGAGTTTATTGTCAAGAAATGGAGTTATTGCTGAGATTTGAGTCTTTGAACAGTATATTGTAGTGGTACTAGTATGCCAAAAGAGGAGGCTTACTTGATCTGTCCATCATAGTTGCTTTATATTGTGCTGGTTTCCAAATTGGTGATTTTCCTTTTTTTTTTCTTTTGGCAAGGAACTTAAATAAAACAAATGGATAAGACATTCATTTATTCACCATAACCACCCTTGAGCTAAGGATTATAAACTAAAATGTTAAATCATAATTAAAATTTGAAAATAAAAAGTTTTTTGATAAGAGTTTATAGATTTTATTTTGAACATTTTAAATAATCTAAACATATAGGTAGTTTTCAACTTCTACCATATAATTTCCCCCATTTTTATTCATTTTGCAAGTATTTGAATGCCTACTGTATGCATGTCATTAGACATTAGGATTGCAAAAGTAAGGAAAAGCTGATTCTACCCTTCTTCAGCTTATAATCTAGAATTGTATATATACTAGTAATTACACATTTATGGTAAGTACTCAATAAGAAAAAAATACAGGATACTTAACCTGAAGGATTAAGGAAGGCTTCCTGGAGAAAGAATGTCTTGTTAAATTTTATCTCCCATGCAGGTATTTGTATATGTATTTTTTTAACTCTTGATTTTGCTTGTAAGTTTTTATGCAGGTCTTCTGGATCAGTCTTTTCAATGTCTCATTTCTCTATTTTAAAAAAACTGTTGCCAGATTTTCTCTTTAATTATCAAATCATTGTGTCTGAATTAACTATTACCCATCATTTTCCTCCATGTCAAAGTGTGACTGGAATTTGTTCCTGAACCAAACTTGATTTCTGAATTGTTAATTTTTATTGTAGCATGTTAACATTTCTTTTCAAAAACTTATATATCCCACATCTGTAAGTTGTACAGAGTACAAAAAAAAAAAAAAAACCGGGCATAGTGGTATCGGTCTGTAATCCCAGCATTTGAGAGGTTGAAGCAGGAGGATCGTAAGTTTGAACCCAGCCTGGACTACAGTGATTCCCTGTCTCAAGAAAAAAGTTGCTATTTATAAATACAAATACTGGTGGGGGAAAAGCTGTCCTGAATTTTGTATAATTATCATGTATATTTTATTTTTAGTAAGAACAAGCTTGGCTAATGATTTTAGTTGTTAAAGCACAATACTAAGGATTCTACAGCAAGGGATCCACAATCGTTAACTGTAAAGGGCCAAAGAGTAAATAAATGCTTTATGCTGTTGAACTATTCGGCTCTCAGCTCTGCTGTGGACAGCTTATGAATGGAGGAGCATGGCTGCTTTCCTGTAAAACTTTACTTATAAAAACAGTGGTAATATTTGGTCCGTACGTGGTTGTTTGCTGACCTCTTGCTTTAAGATGATTTTGATCTTCATATAA